GCCCCCTTTGACCCTCCTGGGGATTACCTTCCTCTGGGCTTGGAGGATCGTCTCCTTAAGGAGCGACCACTCCCCTTGGACACCCGGCTCCCCTCCCCTCTGAGACTTCAGCGCTTCTCCAACTATCTTCCTTAGCTCGTTGAAGTTCGCCCTCTTAAAATCTAGGGCCACCACCTGACTGCTTGCCTTTGCCACCTTGCGCTGAATGGTGAATTCTAGCAGGCAGTGGTCACTGTCGCCCAGGGGGTCAAGCACCCGCAGCCCCCTCACCAGGTTGTCGCCCGTGGCCAACACCAAGTCCAACAAGGACTTAGCTTGGTTTAGCTCCAATCACCTCATTCTCAAATGATTTGCAGTTATTGGAATAGAAAGGCTCCAAGTCCTTAAAACTTAGTTTATCCGTAGCTTTTCGCGTGTGTCCTAAATGGTGCAAACCTCTTACCAGCCGCACCCAAACGAAGTTGGAAAAGTGCTTTGAATTTCTGCTGCAGGTTCTCTGTCAACTTGAGGCATGTGGCATAGTAGAAACGATCACTATCAGTGCAGCTGGATTCCCTATTAGGTAAGTCCAGTGAACATTAAGTTGTTCATGATTACTGTTTCTTCATAATAAGCCATAGCTCCTAAGACTTCGTAGGCCAGACCTCTTCTGGTGAGATTCCAGTGACTGCCGTGAATGTATTAGGCAAACGCTGTTTCTCTGCATTACAACGCAGTTGCTGAACGATGTCTTTTACTACCAGTTACTACTGCAGAGATGAAGGGAGTACATAAGCCTGCATCTGAGTAATTTACTTGTTAGTCTGCTTCTACATTTTACTTAGACACGTACACCTCTTGATTTGAGATTTTTTCAAAACTGCTACATTCTTGTGTGTAATAATCTACACCAAAAACTGGCCTTCCCTCCTTTGCTAAGAGTGAACATGACACACTGCAGGGATTGCTCCAATCATGAATGTAGTTTATAAAATACACCGTAATAGCTTCCCTAGAGCATGTTTCCAATAGTTAAAGAAAAGGAACGGAAGGACTCCACCAGCCCAAGTTTGCAGCAGTTAATCTTTCACCAGAAAGGTCATTTTACTGGACACGGTTGACAAGGCAATGACCTCACACACCTGGGAGCTCTGTTCATCAGATCCTAAAACCATTGCATCCTTTTCCTCTTGAGGGGCAGTAAATGGCATTTGTTTAGAACCGACTGTTGTTCTGGCTCTCAGGCTCTCCTTCCAAAGTTTCACCGAGCGTTACGAAGTACTGAGAAAATCACGTACATCAAAGAAAAACACAGGACATGATGATGAAAATGGTCTCCCCCCTGCCAAGAAGAAAAAAGGTACGCTTCTTTCTTGCCTGTTATGTAACCCCACACCACGTTTGTCACTACTGTGCAAATCAAACGCCGCTACGATGCTGGTAACTGCACTTTCCACACAGTCTGTTACTTGGGCAGGCTTTATCAAATCGGTTAAATGAAATGACTTCCATGCCATGCTATTTTTCTATAGATGGCTGCTGTATTTTGACTTGGATACAATGATTAAGTTAATTCTGTTTGTTTTGCTTCTGAATTTTTAAGTTGACTTTGAAACGATTTCGAGTCTTTTTATTTGCTTACATTCCTTCTTTCTCTCTCTGTTTCTTGTCTCTTGCCAAACGTGCACTTGGCCCTCTAGCTTTACTGGATATTGCTGCCGCTATTGTACTGTTTCTCCTACCTTTTGCAGACTTCTCTGTGGGAGTCTTTTTACAAAGAAACAAGTGAGGATGCGTTTAAAAAATGTAAACAGATTCAAAAGGTAACAGCTTTGGTATGAATTCCTGGTAGGGCAGTTATTAGGAAACCCCCTAATTACTTGTTAACTTTTGTAATTGGATACTGCACATTCATCCATTTTTCCTCATAATCTAATGTATGTTACCTTAACCCAGAGAAAAATGTAGTAAGTGATGAAGGGTCAACCAGCAGTGACAAAACTCCAGCTAGTTCTAAACCTGTTAAGTTCTAGCCAACACTGATCACTTGGTTAAATGCAGTAAGGAAATGTAGGCAGGAAAAAAAAAAATTGAAACCAAAAATCAATTTGAAATCTTTTGGGTACTTTCATGAAAAATGGTTCAGGCTGATTGGCTACCAACTCTCCTTATCTGACAGGTAACAAGTTAAGAACGAGCATTGTCATTAGAACTATACCCGTCGTCCCCCCCTTTTTTTTTTTGATAGTTCACTGTAACTCCAGTTCTTTGCCGTCTGTATTACACTGGATCTGTCTGTGTTGATCTGTTTGATTCTTAACCGCGTCGCTGCCTCTTCTTAATTATGTTCTGTGTAGTAAGTTTCAAACACTAGAGCTACACCACAAAATGAAGACGCGAGTGCAGCACTTACTAGCTAAGTCTAGCTAGCACACATACCAATAGCAGCGGTGTGTGGCAGCTGGTTCGGGACGTGCCTAGGATCGCTGGATATATTACATAGCTACATTACACTAGTACTTGCTACACTTGCCTTCATTTTGCAGTGTAAACTCAGCCAGAGATTTGTAGACAAAATGATGGATGTTTTGTCTCTGTAGGACTTTTTACTTGATGATCGACTTCTCCCTTCACCATCTTGCATTTTGCAGGTGGGACTGTGATGCCGCATAGTGATGAAGCATTGCGCTCCGTCATCCAGGAGGTTCTTCAGAACGTGGTGGGGGCACAAAGTGCAGCTTCCCTCAAGCAAACAGAAGCCAAAGCCAACAATTCTTTGGTATATTGTGGCAAAACCAAAGTATTTATGACGAACTCTATGGTAAGTATGTGCACATCCCAATCTCCTGGGCTAAAAACAGAAGGTGCTCATATACGTGTATACAACCTACTCCCATGGTCAGTGACAACTCGTACTGACTTCTCTGAAGCCAAAATGTAGCATCCCAACTCACAATATAAAAAAAAAAAAAATCTGCTTATGCCATGCAATAGCAATCCAATAGAAGTAGAAATCTGCCTTAAAGA